TAATAAACCGCCAGTACATCTGCTAAGCTATCTGCACATCCTCCAACGAAATCCACCAAACCCGGGCTCTGAGCCCTCCCACAATCAAATCCGCTGGGATCTTGGTTTCATCCGATTGGTCGGGGATGCTGCAACAGGGGGGGCGAGAACAATAGCATCATTCCGGCATAAAAAGAGTGGAGCTATGCCTTGGAGACGAAAACATTTCAGCAACAGAAGGATCGATATACTGGGGAGATAAAGTCCCATAAGCTTCTAGTGTTGCCATATTTTTAACAAACCTGGATACTCGAGACTTCACCCACCTCCCCGAAGTGCCTTTCCGCTGTTACTCGCCAAGATGCCCAAAGGATTCCTGGTAAAAAGAAACAAGAAGTCCGCACATGTTTCCTACAGGACTCGGTCAGACGAAGATGACCTCCAGGAGCCACCCACCCCAGCTGCCTTGCCGTATCAGGCGGACCCCTCCCCGCCGATGTCCCTGGCGTCCAGTCCGGACCGCGCCGCAGCATCGCCGGATTTCGGAGCAGCTGAGGCGCCGGTGCCAAGACTGGAGAAGCCGGCGCAGTTCGGCAACCCAGAGGCGGTGTGCCAAGCCCTCTACAGCCCCACCCGGCCCATCAGCAAAGAGCACGACAGGGGATATTTTGAGCGAAGTTTCAATCTAGGCTCGCCTATTTCTGCCGAGTCATTCCCGACACCTGCCTCCCTCTCTGGCCTGGACCACCTCCTGTACGCCCCGGTAGACCTGAAAATCGGCACCAGCAACAGCAGCCGCAGCGGCACCACCAGCAGCCTCCCGGCACCGAGCAACCGGGTCGGTACCAAAAGGCCCGCAGCTGACGGCGCAGAGCGCAAATCGAAACCCGCCTCCAAGAAACCCAAAGCCATTAGAAAACTCAACTTTGAAGACGAGGTGACGACTTCTCCCGTGCTCGGTCTCAAAATCAAAGAGGGGCCGGTGGAGATGAAGCCGAGGGCGCAGTCCTCTGGAGGGAACAAGCCTTTAGGGGAGTTTGTGTGTCAGCTGTGCAAGGAGGCGTATGCGGACCCCTTCTCTCTGGCTCAGCACAAGTGCTCCCGCATCGTCAGGGTCGAGTACCGGTGTCCCGAGTGCGACAAGATGTTCAGCTGCCCGGCCAACCTCGCCTCTCACCGCCGCTGGCACAAACCCCGGACCACCGGCGTACCGGCGATGTCACCCGCACAGCAGGGCATCAAACCCGAAATGGCCAAAATGCCACCGCTAGGTGTCAAGTCAGTGTCCGACGAAGCCAAAGACATGAGTGACAGAGACACCCCGAGTCCAGGTCTGTCCGAGTCCGGCTCTGAAGATGGCTCATACGACTGCCAGTTCTGCGGGAAGAGGTTTAAGCGACAGGCATACCTAAGAAAACACATCATGGGACACCAGGCCTTGCAAAAGAAAGTGCTGGAGGAGCACGGGTTTCAAACCAGCGACCGCGCGGCAGAGCAGGCTCCGCTCTCCTCCTCCTCCTCCTCCTCCTCCTCCTCAGCACCACCACCCTCATCATCATCGTCATCATCATCATCATCATCATCCTTATCATCTTCATCATTATCATCCTCAGAGGAAGCCTCAAACCAAAGCCCTCTCAATCTGAGCCCGGTGGACTGCCTGCTGTGCCCGGTGTGCGGGGAGAGTTTCACCAGCAGGGCCGGCCAGGAGAGACACCTGCGCCTCATGCACTCCTCCCAGATTTACCCGTGCAAATACTGCCCCGCCACTCTCTACAGCTCGCCGGGACTCACCAGGCACATAAACAAGTGCCACCCCTCGGAGAACAGGCAGGTGATCCTGCTCCAAATGCCGGTGCGCCCCGCCTGCTAAAGACAACACTAAACTCGTGCCTTTCATGGGGGGGGGAGAAAAATAAAAAGAGAAACAAAAAAGTGGCTTCGGGGGTTTAAAAAAAAAAAAGAGTTTGTGATGCTCGCTGCCATAACTTTAGGCCAGTGAAAGGCAGGGCGGTTTGATGTTTAAGTGGTGTTTAATGAGGTGTCTTTTCCATGCCAATCAGTGATTGTTGAATGCTTCTCTCTATATTTGAATTACATATAGGCCTATTTTGAGATGTTCTTTCTCAATCTAGTTTATCAAGAAAAAAAAAGAATACAAAGCGTTAGTTTGACTGTTAAAAGGGTATTTTTCTAGGACAGCACATGTGTTCAATGATAGCTTCTAGACCTAAGAAATGTCTTAAGATTCTCAGAAATCCTTTTCCCCATCAAAAGCCTTTCCAGTTCACCGACCGTGATTGCTCTATCACTGTAGCTTTACGCTAGTTTGTGAATGACAGAACTTATCAACTTTGTATTGGTGGGGGGAAAAAAAGAGTGACTGAAGCATTCTCTGTTTAGTAGAACCACAAATGCCTTTAGTATACAAATAAGCCTAGTCCGACATAGCCTACATACACATCCAAATCCCGCTTTATAACTGCCTTAAAAAAAGTCATCATAGACTGTTTTAATTTTGAATGCTGGCACATATTTTATTATTATTATTATTGTCATTATTATTATTATTATTGAAGATTGTTGCAATATTTTTCATCATATGTTTATTTATTTATTTATTCTAATTATTTTATGTAACTTATTGTTGTGTTTGTTGTGACTTTTTCCTGTGAATCGTTATGGCAGTTTACATGTCTTGATAGCCAAAATGTTTTTTTTGTTTTTTGTTTTTCTAATTTACAGTATGAGTTGTGATAATTGTCGTGGGTCGGGTTTTAATCTTAAATCTCCACAGCTCTTGTAAAAAGAAAAAAAACGTAAAGCTCTTACCTTAGATGCAATCTTTTTTAAGGACAAGTTATTTTTCTTAATCGTGGCTTTTATAGCGCTTTGATTGTATGTGTATATCGTTGTTGTCTATCGAAATAAAATATTTTCAAAAGGACACAAAGTGGCTTCACTTTTTCAGATGTGGGGGGGGGAGCACACCGGGTAACGAACTTTATTTCTTGTTAAAAAGTTAAATCACCACTTTTCTCTATGAAGTTTTGCATTACTGACATTGTTCAGTGGTCTTCTTTAAGTTTTGAATTGATCTGATTGTTGCTCCTACATCTTTGTGTGTTTCTGTAATTTGTTCTCTTTAGGGAAGTCTGAGAATACATATAATCCAGCCAACATGACAAGGGAATGAATACATAGAAAAGATTTAGGCTACTTAAAATAAAACGTGAACTTTTACTTTTAATTTTTGGAAAAGGCCTTTATGGTCTTATTTTCAGGACACAAAGTGAAACAATTACTCTGCGGTAATTAAACCCTCAAAAGTTCTTCATCAATATTACCGTTATCCTACAATAAAGAAATCTCAATTTAAGAGTTTTTTTAGTCAAATATTGTATGCCTTTAGGACCTTACTACATAAAAAAGTTGATACAATTTCTAATTTCTGTCTATAGCACACCGAGATTTTACATGGAGTACATGAAGTGCAGTTTTTAGTTTTATAGCCGATCAGGTGGTTTAGAGCTGGTTCCCAAAGTAGGGTCCACGGGCCTCCCGAGGTTACCGAAACTTCACACCAAACAAGATTCAACAATGTCAGCATTCAAAAGCGCTGTAACTCATTTCTCCTCTGCACCGTCATCTCTCTCACACTCCAAAACAGTGCCAATCCATTCAGTCGTCCTCAACAGGAAAAAGAAACCTTAGAAGCCCCCCTTGGCCAAACCTTTGCCTTCGATTCCCCGTTTATCAGGCTGATTCGCAGTAAATCATCGCTGCAGTGGCTCAATAGACGCTGTTTCGCTGCCATAGAGAAGCACTTAGGGCCCAATCATAAATTCCCTCCTTAATGCCGTGTCAGGACATGACAGGAGGACAAAGAGGTGGTGGATCACAGCTCACCTCTGCAGCAGTAAAACATCTGTCTGCTTTGGAAGACTCATGCAGCTCGATTTTTGTTGGTTTTATGTTGATTTAGGACACAGGGCTCAGTTGGCTTCATATCTGACCTCCAGAACCTGTAAAGCACTGAGTTAGCTGTAATTTAGCAGGCAGCCTCCAACTGTGTCACCTCAGACTTATAGACACACACACACTGCCAGCATGGAGTTACCCTCAGCACTTAATCACCAAAGGCAAACTTTCTTAATCTGCTGAGGATAAATAAAGAAATCTAAAAAAATCACTCTTTTACGTTAGCTCCTGAGTCTCCTTTTTTGTTGCTCCTGCTCATTAATCTGTGCACCTGTCCAAGGCCAAACACAAACTTTTTTTAAATGTGTTACTTCCCCTTAAGGCCTCTGTGACAATGCATCAAGACAGAGAGATATTTGAAGTGTGAAAATAGAATACAGCCAGCAGTGTAACACATGAAATAATACAATCTGGTTGTAATCACAGAGAATGTCAGCCTCAGAGGGGCTGGGACATCCAGCCCCTGCCTGTTCTGTTGTAAACTACCTCAGAGTCAATGATTGAGGCAAACAGCGCCGAGCTGGGGTGAAAATTAGGTAACATTAGGCTTCTTTCTCACCCTTTCTCACACGCACACACAGTTTTAAGGATCCAATTACGGTCAAGTGCTTTTCTAGCGTCTTTATGTGACCCAGGCGAGGCTGGGCACCCGTAGGTGCTGCAACCATTGCACCTGTACCTCCCGGTGAGGTTCCATTATGCTGGCCTGCCCTAAGCAGTGCTGAGCAGCAGGGGAGACAGATGGAAGGAGGGTCAGGTTACCCCTGCTGCTGCTGCTGCTAGCACTGCAGGGCCAGGGTCAGAAAGCCCATGGTAACAGCACCATCATGTCAACACACACACACACACACACACACACACCACACACACACACACACACACACACACACACACACACACACACACACACACACACACACACACACACACACACACACACACACACACACACACACACACACACACACACACACACACAAAATCAGAGGTTACACAATTAACTGATGTGTAGTTGAGAGGGGAAAAATGACAAAGATACATAGAATTTCAAATTGATTTAATGAAATGTTTCAATTTTCACATTTCTAATAAAGATAGCAGGACTTCGGTCGTTAAAAACAGTTTGATATGTTGACAAGTAATGATGAAATCTTCAAGCTTTTTTTCCTCTTATACAAAGATTATATTACAGGCATTAATATATTTATATTCAGAGGGCGCAGAAGCCCTCAAATTTGACACAATGTACAAGGATTTCTAAAACGAGAAGAAAAGCAAAAACATACTAGGACTAACACTAGCTCATTTTTCTTCACGTATATAAGACACACAATCCTTATCTTGGTCCAAACTAACATCTCCAGCAACTAAGCCACCAAAGGGGGAGCACAGACCCCTTCAACAGACATCATCTATAACCTACAATCTTTAGATCAGCATCCTGGGTGGTTCTTTCAAGTGGCTTTGGGGAAAATAAAAAACAAACATGTTGATCCAGGCCTATATATCTATACATTCTTCAAAAAAAGAAAAGCACAAAAACAAATCCGTCAACCCTCCTGCTGTTTGGATTCCCCATTTTCTGCTTCGGGGGGGGAATGAACAAACAAAAGGAGGAAAGATGTGAGGATGACGAAAAAATGACAGGAGAGCATGGGGGGGGGGGAGAGTAAGGCATAGTAGTGCAACAGATGGGGATAGTGTTGCAGCTTGGGTGGAGCCCTCAGAGGGTGTGAGTGTATAATGTGTGTATGTGGGGAACACCTGGCTACCATGACAACCCCAAGCGGGCAGGTTGGAGAAGTGTGTGAGTGCCGGCCTGGTTGTTGCTAGGAGGGCTGTTAGAGTTCAGCTCTGGCATGCCACCTAAAACGCAGCCACCCCACCCCTTCCCAAACCCCTCCTGTGGCCTCAGGAGGCGACAGGGGGAAAGGATCATGGGAAAGAGGAGGAGTCGGTGCCACTTGATTCCATTCACAGATAAAGACAGAGCAGCAAACCACCTATAATATAGACTAAACAGAGAACCCCACGATTCCAAATCCATCTGTTGTTTTGTTTTTTTTTGTGGGAAGCACAAGACAGTGACCTTTAGAGTCGCAGGAGAGGAAAACACTTTTGTTTTTGACTGCTAACGAGGAGATGTGACGTGGGGTTTCCATGGTTTGTCTCAGACGATGAAGGAGAAAAACTAAAATCTGATTATGGGTAGTAGGGGTGGGTGGGGGACAGCATCTTAGGGGGCAGACATTACACAGGCACTGTGAGAAGCTCCCTCTGAAGCTCACACTCTCTCTCACACTCACACATTCATTCATTCACACGCACGCACGCACGCACGCACGCACGCACGCACGCACGCACGCACGCACGCACGCACGCACGCACGCACGCACGCACGCACACACCAGTGCATGGAGTTAAGATTCACCTGAGGCTCTGGTGGTATTTTTCCTTTTAAACAGCACATGAATACATAAAACACAACAGCAAAAATAATTAATCAAATAGTCCTTTCTATATACACACCTAGCAAACAGACATCAGCAAATAAAACTTAAAGCAATTAACATCCAAGAACAAAGAGAAACATTCAATGCTAGTTAATCAATGACAGTGAGTGCAAAAACGTTGGTCGGGAACGTTGGAATGTCAATGTCTTAGCTTCACAGGACAGGGAAACTGATAGCAGAGGAAAGAGACAGGGGGAACTTATTCGATTACCGGACATGAGCCTATGTTAACGACATCAGAAAACAATTACAAATGCAGTCTTTTCTCATTCCAGCAGAGTTGCATAAATCAAATCATGACACAATCCATCGGAATTCATTTAAAAAGGAAAATTAGAGTGATAAAAAAAAAAAAAATTCTATTCAGCGCAAGTTAGAAAGACGTCATTGATTGTCCACTCTGGTTTCAAAACAATTAAAAAGCGTCTGACTGCATGCACTACAGGGACTGTGTAGTCTGTGTAGCAGCGCCGTGAGTACAAATCATTCTGGAGAGGTATTCCCCATGCTTCAGTCTTTTTCTCCTTTTCACTGTAGGGAGATGGTCCACAGACGTGGTCCAAACTGAAGTGGTATCTTTGACACAGAAAGGTTGTGGCAGGTGGAGGAGGAGGTAAAAAAGGCAGACACATTTATAAATGGATACCAATCCCTTGTGCAGTTTTAGCATGATGCCATTTACAGCTGTGTCATTCAGTGCTTGTCACATTAAGTGTTAAGATAGATGAGATATAGAAACAGGGTAAAGCAGTCTCCCATTCCCTTACTATAGTAAGAACTTTTTTCTCTAGTGCATCGTGTCTGCACTATAAAATGAGAATAAAAATGACATTTTTTATCACAGGTTGCGTTAAGACTTCTCAGTCAAGTCTTCCTATGTTGCTGATTCTTAAGCTGGAACCACCAGGATGAACATAAATAGCTTAGTCACATGTCCATCTTGATTAAGCAGTTAAACACCACGACAAATGGAAATGTATCAACAAAATCAAATGATTTGCTACTTAAATTAAAAATTGCAATATGCTCCAGTTACATGTTTATATGACACAAAATAAAAGAAAAACAACACGTCAAAAAAAAAAAAAGAATCTCTTGCAGTCACGGCTGGGTGTGTGAGGTCCTTCGAGAAAAGATTAAAGGCTGCACTCAGGGAGGAAAAAAAGGGAGACAAGGCTGAAAAGCTCAGTTGGAGGATTTGCTTATAGCGCTGGCTGATCGGCGGAGTTTTCCGGAAACTCGGTTCTTTGTGGCACGGGGCATTGTGGGAGAGACCTGGTCGACAGAGTCCGTCGTTCCTATGGTGTTTCCGGCTTCAGTGCTCGCGCTGCCGGTGAAGGAGCCTGGGGGGAGAGGATGGAGGAAGAGTTTGTTTGCAGAAAGAAAACAGGAGACAGAGATGGTGAGACATGGCAGGGGCTCATTGGGCTTTGTGTGATTGCCGTTTATTCCAGCATGCTTTGTCATGCACGTGGCTGCTCCCACAACCAAGATTATCCAAGTTCATAGGATTTTCACCAACATTCAGAAAACTTACAATGCAAACTGTAAAAAAAATAAATAAAAGTGTCAAAATTTGAGTTTGTTTTACCCGTTAAGTCATTAGAGTAGAGATTTGAGAAAGCGAACAAAATATTTCAGAAATTACACATTTTTCACATGCTGTAGATAAGCAAAGCTTGTTAAAAGAGTGGCTGCCTTTCTTCCCAGTACCGTTTTTCCAGATGCTTATAGGATATAAAAAATGAGAGGTAACCTTTGCAGCTATGGGCAAAAAAAACTATTCAATTCGCAGCGTGACAGCAGAATGCTTTGAATGAAAATAAAATTACACATTATGCTCTTGTTGTGAACATGCGGAGCCTTCCTATTGTCAAACATTGTCCTTTTGAAAAAAAAACTTCACATCCATGATTACGGGATGGCAAATAGTAATAAGCGGGGAGGTGGGCATCAAATGCTGCTGAGGACAATCAAGTATTGTGAACGTCGCCCTGACTTCCTCAGTGTGCCCCTGACCAAAACCCCTCCCCACCCAATCCAACACAACTCAACCCAACCCCCCCCACCTGCCTCTGCCCCATGCCTCGAGTTTTAAACAACTTTTCTGCTTTGTCGAGATGGCATCTGGCTGCCTATTTTCTTTCCTATCCTTTTATTTCCTGCCATTTTTCGGGGGGCATCTCAAGTTGCAGCGGCTAAAAGGAATGGCAGATGGCTGGAGTAACAGACACTCAGCAGCACAGTGGACACCGGCAGCATCCAGGACCGTGGCTCACTGGGAGAGAAGGGCTGGGCTATGGATGAAACATCGGGTGCGTGTGTATTGTGAAGGGCTCGAGGGGAGGCGATGGGGGTCCGAACATGCATTCTCAAATCTGCATATGAATATAAAAAGAAAGGGATGGGCTTGGCTAACAATGTGGGCTGGCCTTATGGACAGAGCAAATCCTGCATTCCCGTATTCTTCTACTCATTCCTACAGTAAACATTTTGTTTTCTAAACTAAACTCCAGCTGCATGTGCTGTAAAGACGTATGACAGACAGGAGGAAGGCAACCACCTATTAAAGCTAATATACACAGACAATAGTGTGGTACAATTCACCACCCACTCAACAGACTTCCCTTTTCGTTTAGCGTCCATTAAAACATGCTGCACTAAACAGTCATCACTCCCACTGTGGCACTTAATGACTGTGGTTGCATCAGTTTCTGAACTATGTTCTTCACTGTATGGCCTTATGTAAGAATTCATTTTCATAGTAAGAAAAAAAAAAAATCCAATCCAGAAGAGGCTAATGTGTCCTTATTATCGTCATTATACCCCAGCATTTCCGCTCCTTACTCAGCCCAAACTGCCTTATGGTGAGGTTAATTTCAGATGGAAAGAAGAAGGAAAAGACTGAGAGAGAAAGAAAACAAAGAAAGTCTTTAAATGGCCCTGCTATCCCATTGGTCCCCTCTGCAGCAGTTCAAACAAGGCTTTAGATGACAAAGACGTCTTCCAGTGCGGCAGGTGTTAGTCTCAGAGTCTGCCCCAGGCAAACAGGCACACTCCAACAGGAGGAAATGAGGGGGGGTGGAGGGGATTGGGGGGAAAAAGGGAAGAAAGAAAAGAGAAAAGTGTTTGCTGGGGGAAGAGATAAAGGCGCGCCACATGCAGAAGCGAGGGCCAGAAGTGTAGCCGTATTGTTCATGCTGCTACTTAGTCAGGTGCTAATTGTCCCCACCGTGCATCACTTTCAATTACCAGCCTGGCCTAAACAGTAGGACACCCCCCCAAATAAACAGCCTGATTTCTCTGTCCCCTTCCCCTTTGTCAGAGCACTCAGTAAATAAAGCGTGGTTAGTACTGAATGAAAGAAGGGGGGGGGAACAGCCAGGATGAGTGAAGGAGCGAAGGGTAGGTACTGTAGTCTGCTGGACGGAAACAGGCTTCAGGTCTGACTCGGGGCTTACCTTCGCCATATACAGTTTTTGGACCTTTAAGATATTTTTAATCTAAAAAGGGAAAAACAGAGTAGAGCATCATGTGAGAGGAGGAGTGGAAACACCGACACACACCATACCAAACTGCAGCAGAACACAACACGCTGCTGCTGAAAAGTCAGTGATTTGGAAGGATGTTCAGACAGCTTGTGTGGAATCGAGGGTTAGTTGTCACTGGAGGGTTTAAAAGTCAGACAAAGTTAACTGATTCGGGTGAGGATGTTAATCAACAAGTGCCATGTTTTGTCTGATGGTGCCTGATAGATCTGTCCAATTCACAGATTTCAAAAGTAAGAATTTTGAAATCCAAAGCGTGAATGGTGGGCAGTTTACATGGCAACAGCAGGCTGAGAAACATTAACCACAAGTATTACTACTGGAGAGGGTTAGGGTGAGAAGTAAAAGATGCGAGGGCACCTCAGAGAGTTACTGGGGCTTTTAAGTTGTTTTATCCACTAGCGAGAAGTATTGCCTTCTGATGTGCTGTGATTCATTTTGAAAAAAGTTCAGAGGATGGAACAAAAAAATAACAAAACACTAAAAACTGAGCAAAGCAGGAGGGAGGTACAGGGGTAACACTGCAAGGGCAGAGCACTGTGGATGAAGTCTGTACTATAGATGGACTAGCTCATGCAGGAAGCCATGACTGGATGTGCTGAAGTTGCAGGATGAGGGTGACGTTGCATTCAGGATCATGGAGGACGAGGTTGTGGAGGGCACCGACAAGCCAAAAAGGTATAGAAAGGGATGATAGGGTTAAATGCCTTACAGCAACACTGGTGAAACACTGCAGGAGTGCTTCATTTAGTGATCAGCATGCAGAATCTGTACTTGAATTCCTGCTTTGGTGTTACAAAAAAGGGCTAAATCAAGCGCAACCCCTCAGTTATTTGATGATGGAGGGGTTCACAGTGACCTAAATGAATGAAAGGATGGATGTTGGAGGGCTGTGGCTGGGCGTCATGCCTAGTGTGGAGGAAGCAGGCAGAGTCTTACAGTCCAGTTTGGCCCAGGGGTACTCCATGTCCCAAACCATCCCCGGCCAACGCCTGCACGCTGTCATGGAGCATGGATGACATGTTAGTGGCAGCAATGGGAGCCAGACCAGGGTGGAACGGACAGACATATGGATGGACAAACTCCCACACAAGCACACACATATATACAGACACACACACACACACACACACACACACACACACACACACACACACACACACACACACACCACACACACACACACACACACACACACACACACACACACACACACACACACACACACACACACACACACACACACAAAAGACATGGGAGGGAAGTAGCACATTTCAAAAGGGTGAGAATGAGGAGCCAGCCATCACTGCTACGTTGAAGCTATATGCTTGATGGGACACAGACGATCAGGAATGAAAAACCACAACAATAAAGGATACTTAGATGCTTTATATATATATATATATATATATATATATATGTATAGCTTAAAGCATTAAAAGGACCAGTGTGTAGGATTTTGTGGCATCTAGTGGTGTAATGGCAGATTACAACCCCCCCTCGCCTCAACCTCCAGTTCCAAACGTCACAGACACTGTGGTGGCGCCAAAAAACCTGGAAGGGCCTATCTAGAGCCAGTTGGTGGTTTATCCATTCTGGGCTACTGTAGAAACATGGCAGTCTCTGTAGAAGAGAACCTGCTCCCTCAGTAGATAAAAACGGCTCATTCTAAGGTGATTATACACTAATGACAACATACATAGAATATTAGATTCCATTTCTGCCTATAAATCCTAAATGTTACACACTAGACCTTTAAATACATCATGACTATGGTTTTTAGCTACAATGCAGCCTTTCATTTATAAATACAGTTGATAGGAATACATAGTTGTTAATAGGATTGATAGAAATAGGCAACAATTTAGATCACCAAATTTATCAAACTGTAAAGTCATTTTTTTAAGGAAAAAAATGCAGAACATTCACTGTTTCTAGTTTATCAAATGGATATTTTGGTGTTATTCTTAGTGTTCATAAACTGTATACCTTTGACTGTCTGAATGTGTTAGGTTGGGATCCTTCGGGAAATCAAGATGGGCATTTTTCACCATATTCTTGACATTTTATAGACTAAAATTAAATTAACAAAAACTTGTCAGATTAATTGATAATAAAAATAATCAATTAGTTGCAGGCCTACTAGTTGCATCTGGTATGTGTGTGTTTTCTTATTAATACTTTAGGTTTTACATCTTAAATTCTGTATTTCCCTTTAAATCTGGTTAGTTTTCTTTAAATTTAGGGGAAATTGTATGACAGACTCACAGTATGTTCTGTGTCTGCTTGTCCGGGCACTTCAGTGAAGCTATGTGATTCTTGTACAGAACAGTCTAATATTCAAACCCAAGATGCTGTGTTTCCAAGGCTGCACCAGAACATATAATATATATATATATATTATAGACTTTGTGTAATTTTATACTTATTTTGCTAAAATTCATCAATAAAAATGAACTTACTTTGGAAACCTCTCTAGTATTGTGGGTTTGAACCAATGAACCTAGCAGTATTTAGAGGTTAAACATGCACCTTCTTCAGAAGATTACAGAGCAAAAGCCATTTGTGAAATTACTCAACATGCACTATTATAATGGTTAACCTACAAGAAAGTGACTGTGTTATAGTATTGTATAGAGCAAGTGAGTCCTGGATAACATATGAATGGACAGACACACACATACACACACCCGTACATTAATCTATTTACACACGCAGATTCCAGAGAAATACAAATTGTCGTTCAGAACGAGTTTCCGCAGCGGTGAGGGTGACACGACAGCCTTACAGACTTCATTATGTTATGGAGTCTCACATTAGCCACAGCACATGCTGTGAAACATTATTCTTAAGCCTGGCTAACCTCTCGGCTGTACTCGAACTCTGTCAAAGTTCACACACAGAATAGGGAGGAAAAAATGGTATTGGAACATCTCTAGTTGAAATAGTCCACAACATTAGTTAGATTTTCTTCTTTTCTCTCTCCCCTCTGCATTCCCCTGTATCTGTATCTATTTCCCCCCAGTCGTTCTCTTTTAAGCTGGTTTGGTGCTGGGGATGAGAGGAGGTGAATAGGGGTCAGTCTGGGAGATTTTACACCTCTGCAGGAGAGATAGGCAAGCAGTATGGTGATGTGGCTGACCACCTCTGGCCTGCTTTTAACAGCCTGAATACCACACCTGCTGTCTGAGAATCTGAAGTCCTACACACTCACACACACACACACACACACACTCACACACCTCAGGAAATTCAGACATTTAATTCTCACATGCCAGCATACAGGATAAAAATATTACATACACTTTAAGCCACCCTTAAAACTTACACACATTGACAGATTTGAAAATGACAAGATGGTGTGGTATTGTGGAGTGCTTTCCTTGTCAAAACAGAACGTGTGTCGGGATCCAATAGAGTGGAAAAGTGCAATCCTGTATTGATTTCAGTGCTGTTGCAGATCGATCCGAGCTGGTACAAGTAGGAAGAACAAGATAAGACACGTTTTCCATTCTATTCATCATGGACTGATAAGAGTGCTGTGCTGACATCCGCGAGCTGCTGTTTGTCAGTTGGATCTCTTAAGTGTTGGTGAATGAGCTCATGAAGACGCACACACACACACACATAGAAACATGCACTCTGCAACCACCATTTAACAAGGCTGCTTATATTCATAGGAAAGTAAATGCACGGAAAAGATGCAGTTGGAAACAAGAAGAGATGAACAAAGTAGCGTGAGTGGGGCTTAAGGAAGTGGAGAAAGCAGAGTGTTTGAAGTCGGCCGGATAGCGTCAAGAGCCGGGCCTGTCGTTTGATATTCATCAGTGAGCGTAGGCGTGGAAGAAGAGTGGAGAGAATGGAAGGGGGGGGTGGAGGAGGCAACGAGGGGAAAACAGGTGTACTGTGGAGGGAGGAGGAGACTGATACAGAAAGAGGCAAGAAAAGAGATGCGGGGGGGGGCATGAGAGGAAATGCACAAATGTGATAAGGCAATAGTGAGATGGAGAGACAGACAGAATGGGCTAAAAGAGATTGAGTGGAAAGAACACGAAGGAGAACAGAGGTACTGTGTAGTTCATTTCTCACCTGTCCCACTCATTGGATAGCCAGGAGACGGAGAGAAGACCTGCGAGGCAAAGTCCTCAAAGGTCATGACCTCTCTGTGGTTCTGAACAATGGCCTCCAAGTAGAGTGCCCGCTCCTCATAGCTGGTTAGCTCCCGTTAAGGAACAAAACATAATGGCATGTTGGAGAAGAGAAACAAAAAGGCAGCAAAGTGCAGTAAGCCTTTGCCTGTAGTTAAACGTAATACTCACAAAATAATCACATTTCAGAATTAAAACATCCATCTGTATATGGTTGCCAGGTTGGAACAAATCATAGCAACAGTCACACATCACATTTTTTCACTGCTGCACTAGATATACTGTGAGAGTGAGCTGGGTGAGCGAGGGGCAGCTTTACCGGGCAGGGCGGCTCCACCATCAGCAACCCAGCCAGAAGCAAAGATGGAACAATCAGCCATGCCACACATCCCCAAATGAGAAAGCAGTCTCCAAAATAATCATAAAAAAGAAAGGAAGAATACATCACTACTGGCGTGATGCTCCAAACCTCTCCTCTCCCCCCTCTCGTCCCTCTCTTCTCTCTAATAGAACCCCTGCTGCAGGCAGCATGTCTAGGACCACCCTCCCCGATGTGCTGCCTGCCACTTCTCGGTGCCATCAGGGGGAAAATTGGAGCCATTTGAAATTCAGAGTGACAAGCAGTGACTGGAGCCTGGGCAGCCAGCATGCAGGATGGATGGCCGGATTTGAAATGGGAAAGCTCAAATTAATAAATATATAAATAAGCCAGCAAAATGGCTGCCGGGTGAGGGTGGAAAACATTCTGATGGCCATTATCATATCATTATCATAGATATATCGTTCTAAGTCTGTTGTGGAATGGAGGCAAGTGCTGGATAAAATATGGTGCTGGGAACTATTGGAGGAAAAAGGTCTTTCTGATGGCATAATGATAGAAAGCCCTTTTGAGATTTTACTCTGTGTGTGTGTGTTTGACAATGAGACTGATTATTCTCACGCCTGTCTGTTTTGGCCATTTTCCTTTATAGACAACGCCTAACAAATTGCTCAACAAACGCATGCATTTTCACTCTCTCTCTCTCTCTCTCTCTCACACACACACACACACACACACACACACAAACACACAACACTAGTCACTCAACACAGAGCCCCCCTTCCCCTCATCTCATTACGATTGCCAGGGTGGAGTGGCACTGGGCTGTTGCTGACGCCAAGCCTGAACCAGGCTGAGTTGAGATAGGCTGGACTGGGCCGAGAGGCTCTGGTCTGGGTTAGATAGATAGGACGAGACAGTGACTGGGCAAGGGGCCTGCTGTGGGCACATGCCGCCACAGCAGGGGCCAAGGCAGCCATGACCAATGGCTTTGAGGGAACCGTGGCAAAGCGGGGGTGACGGGCACCTGAGCCGGGAGGCACCAGAGGGTACCATGGCCAAGCTGCTCACAGGGACACACAGAGATGGACAGAGGGCAGAATAGGACAAAGGATAGGGTAACTGAGGATAAGGATGGGTTTGTATACTCACAAGCCCTATGAATCAAACAAGTCAAGTCTAATATTGTCTACTTACAGTCCACATCAAGAACAGGAATAGCGTTATTTTGTCACGCAAGGCAAAAGTTAGAGAAGAATATGGGCAAGGGTAGGTTAAAACAAACTTGCTCAGTGATTTTTTTGGGGCATTTTGTTGGAAACTGAAATTCTTTAATGAAAACAGAAAATTTGGACACTTGTTGGGACAGAACACCAAGAAATCCATTAAAGTAAAAGCTCATATTTCCTACCTCAAGCACGAAAATATAAATGGAAAAACAAAAAAGCAGGCTATAAGACCTGTCAACTAATATACAGAACCTAATTGACCATTCTCTACCGGTCCAATGTCTCCATTTCAGAGATGCAGAGCAGCATGACTTTAAGCACGTAAAAGCACTTCCCTCTTGAACTCTATATCTGTCCTCCAGTCATAGCCAGACATGCAACGTCACTGTTTTCTGTCACTTGCTGGAAACCATATTGGACAAAGAGTGGGCATCCCAGTCTCTGCTGCCATGGTAACCTGGGTCACAGCTCTGTGTGGTGGGTCATATCCAGGCTTTTATAGATGACAGACGGAGAGGAAGAATGTTTGTAAAAGAACAAAATGTGCCCAGATAGGTAATAAGTGGAAGACAAAATATAGTAGAAGGAAAGACTTAATGAAAAGAAACGTTAGAAGTCCGATGGAAGCCAACAAATGAAAGACAAGGAAGGATGGGGAAAGAGAAAAAGAACCTCGGCACAGCGTGGGTCAACAGAGCCATATGGCTGTCCATTATCAGAGATGCAGATGACTGCAGGCCTGTTATTGAGATTCCTAAAGCAAATATTGACTCCAGCTGGAGCAGACGCTCTCTCTGACTCTGACACACGCCTCTCCTCCACTACTTCCTTCCGCTGCCCTCTATCCAAGTTAGACAAATGGATTATAGTGGGTGAGAAAAAAACTTCAAAGAATAAAATGAAGGGAGATAGTGTAGAATTATCAAGAGAAGAGAGAAAATATATGACAGGCTGCCAGGGAGAAAGACAGGCGGCGAGGGAGGGAGACTAATAAAAGGTATTTTGGAGATGAGTGAAAGCGAGAGCCATAATCAGCTCACTTAAGTAAATGTACGATGCTATCTGTGGGTAAAAAAATTGCTGCACAGAAATCAGACCTGATGCACAGTGAGGGGTAATCTTGCCTTCTCTCTCTCTCGCACTCCCTCATCATTCTGCTTGTCTCTAATTACTAAGCCATGGGCACAGCTTGTTCCCCTGCATATGCACAGATGCTGCTGCCTCCATGCAGTAACTTAATCAAGGGACACGTCCAGAACAGTGACGCAAAGGCTATGTCCATGTCATGGACACCAAACCCGCTGACACTGACCTACTTTTGGGGGAAAAAATAAGCTGCAGCTACTGCAGATGAGTGCCTGGATTCATGTTCGTGAACAACTTCTCTGGAAAGATGGATCACAAAACACAAAATGTTATACTTTCTGAAAATGCTTTTTATTATGAAAGCCTTTCTGATGAACAGCATTACTGTACCTTTATGCTATAAAACAAATTCCCATAAAGCAAGGGATGAAATATATAAAAAGGAAAATGCAGACAGGTCTACATTTCCACAGATGGACTGCAACTTAAGTCACCCGTGACATAACTGTCATTTACAGCTGAACTGGGCGGGCAAGCAAGACAAGCCAGTGTGTGGGAGGAGAGTGTGTTGCACCACTTTGGGAATTTCCAAGGAACCCCTATGTTCCAAGCGGCTGCATTCCTATTAGGAAGAAGAGAAGGAAACCAATGTAACGTCTATGGAGCGTGGCAACCACTGGGATAATAACGAGAAAAAACCCCTCCCAGATCAGTTAATGTAAGAGATCTTTAGGTAGGGGACTGATATCTGGAGACATGGTGGTTGTGGTTGGGGAGTTATGAGGGTAGAAAGCGAGTATTAGCTATAAAGATAAAATAATTCTGTCTATTAACTACAACATTTACATGTTCGGAAAATAATGCGTTTCAGTGGATAACAGCCCATTCCTACCCTGTCCCCTGCTTGCCCTCTCCTTCTTTCGTCACTGCTAGTGACAAAGGCTGTGACTGATATTTGGGATGATGTGTCTGGGTGTAGGTGTGTATCCGAAACACATACGTACACAGATGCACAGGTCAATTATGCACAAACACACAAATTCCCCAAAAAAGAAATGCTGTACGTGGGTGAACAAACACCACGAGACAGAACCCAACAATATCAAACCTGTGAAGGCATATGTGCATTTGTATATGAGTCAGCATACGTGTACATGCATATGTATCTGTGGGTGTGCGCACGTATGTATACATATGCATGCATGCTGTCCAGATGGCAGGGGGGAGTTAGCTCTGGGGGAATGGTGGGGGTCAAGCATCTTTGTGGATCAAAGCCAAGGTCAGGGCAGCTCAGTGGCCCATGTTCAAGGTGAATGGAGGCCTCAGATGGCTCTTCATTAGCAGGCTGCTCCATCCCTGCTGGACCCCATCAGCCAACAGCCACTGACCCTCATCATCATCTCTCTCCCTTCTTTTCTCTCCATCCACAGGGACCTGTCCTGAAAATGCCTGTCCACTGGGATCCATTTTGTGCTTTGTGTAACCCCACCCAGCACATGCAGACATGTACACACACACACACACACACACACACACACACACACACACACACACACACACACACACACACACACACACACACACACACACACACACACACACACACACACACACACACACACACACACACACGTCCCAAAAAGAGCCTATGTTGACCTCTGAACTGGTGTCTCTCTTGAGAGCAGCATCCTGAACATCCAGCCTCTGTCTTTGTGTTTCTCAGTCGCCCTGCTGACAAAAGGCCTCACGCCACCACTGGCCTCTGACACACACTCATCTTTTGAACACACACAGCCAGCAAGGAGGCTTATGCATCATGACTTCAGAGAATACTCCTTTACTTAAAAGGTATTGTGAATGTAAACAGTTTACAAGTGAATGTATTTCCTTTCTCATAAAAAAATTTTTATTTTAAAATTTGTTTTAAGCCTGCACCGCTAACATCCATGTTTATAAGTGCTCCCCAATCTTCTTCCCTGCATTTTACTGGAGCATTGCAACACTTCTTAATAACTGCCACAAACTGTCAGTCAAGAGAAAAGCATGAACCATCAACAGGCATGTTTATTCAGCCGCATGCTTATGCTCATACATGTGCATCTTTGCGCTTGTGCTAGTAGGTTATGAGATACAAACAAAACAGAACCTCAAAACTCAACTGATATGGCAACCAACTGATTGAGCCATGAAATTCAAAGAGCTTCAGACAGACCTATGAAATAGAACTGTGTTAAGATATAGACTCTGGAAAATGAATTATCAAAATTGTTTAGGAACTGAAAGTCCAAGTAAGAGCCAAGCACTTTCCAATATATTTTGAACTCTTTCTAGAGCTTACCATGCAGCCAAAAGGGTCTTCGGTCATGAGATGACAATGAACCCAATGACCACTGTGTGACAGCCCATCTGGAGTTTGACAAATGGAAGTT